TTAGATTAATCTGAAAATTTGTTGTTTTTTGGTAGATATCTACTCCTCCTTCTTTTGATTTTTATGATATGCTCCTTGTTTTCTAATATGCCATTGTGCAAACTAAATATTTATTGTACAACTAAATATTGACTTTGCAAACTTATTTAGACTACAACTAAATATTCAAATTCAAATTAAATGTTGTTTGTCAACTACATATTTTGTTCTAAAGTAAATATTTATTTTATAGCCTAAAAGTAAATATTTTGCTCACTAATCAGATATTTTGCTTGCTAAATATTTAGGTTGCAAATTGGCTTGGAAATAAGTGGAAGTGGACTATCAAAATAAAAGTGTTGTCTCACTTTAAATCACTTGTTGTGTGTTTTTAAGATGTTAAAACCAGAGTTGATATTATTATGTGTTTTAGTCTGATTCAAAAGTCTCACTTTGAAGAACAGCTAAGTGTCAGTAGAAATGCCTCTACAGTTTGAGGTTTGTTACATCATACCCACCATGATTAGTATGTCTTCCAGGAAACAGGTCTTTTCTAAAAACACAGATGAATTACGAGAAACCATAAAAGACAAGAGCCTGGGCATCGAAGCAGCAAAAAAAAAGAAAGAAAAGAAAACATGAGATACTACCTCATGTCTGTCCTTCAAAGGCCTTTTGTTTGCAGTGGAGGAGCTGAATGTTGCCATTCACGTCCGACGTTTTTATCCGAGACAATATTTTATAAGCTCTTCAGAGAGAACCTTTAGCTTCCTTTTCCTGTGGTTTGGCCAAGGCTAAGCTGTCGGGCGAAGGGAACAGCCAAACCCAAATGTAGATGCTCAACTTGGCAGGCTCTGCTCAGAGCGTCCTGACCAGACAAAAGCAGGGAGAGGAATAAAGCCATTTATTTATATTCTCTGTGGTTTTGCGTGTTGGATACTAGACTTCCAGACCCTGAGTGAACACTCTGTCTGAAGACAAAGACAGATGGATGGCTTTCCGTCGACACACTTGAAGGAACTTTCTGGATTAATGTCAGATCCATATGTGTTAATGGTGTGTGAGCATTTGATGTGTGGTCCGCCTCCGTTTACCAACACCCCCCTGCCCCCCTTCCTTCCGTTTCATTCTCGGCGCTGTAGGCCCAACTTTCACAGCATCACGGCATGCAGGGCAGACACCTCCAGTGATGATCCACACCGGCAGCATTAGAGATCTGATGAAACCTGATCAGATCTCTTCTTTTTTTTTTCTGCAGGGATGACCTCACCGCTATCAGCCAAGGAATGGAACCAATTTAAAGGAGCTCCCAAGAATCACTGGTGTGTTCAGATTTGTCAAACCCAACTACATCGGGGCCAACTTCCACTTTAGCTGCACACATACTGTACTGTTACGGAGACTAGGGAGGTAGGAGGGGGGGGGGTGACAAAAAGCGTATTCCGCCAACGGAAACTGCTCTTATAGGTCTGTCTTACTCACACCCAAGCGCTATGTGGGAGAGCCCATAAATGAGTCAACCCTAGCTGTTTCTATAGTCTTGGAAGCTGCAAGGGGAGTTGGGAAGGTGGTGGTTGGGGGTGAGGGTGGGGGAGGGGGGGCTTATATATGTTCACACAAATCCACACACACATATACGTTTGCTGTGGCTAACTCAACCTCTCTGGTCAGGAGAGGAAGCCAAGAGCAAGCAGAGCAGTGGAACACTGGGAGTCTTGTGCCTGATTTTGGAGCCTCTGGCTCTCTCCCGACCTCGCTTCAAAATACACTGCGGCTTCGAGGAACAGCACTCTCAGCAGTGGGAAGGCCAGGCATGGAAAATTCAAACACAACAAGAAAGAAGGGAAAGATGGGGGTGGGGGCGGATGGGGAGGGAGACAAAATTTATGTGCTCATTCAGTTTCGTGGCGGTGAGCATTTTCCTAATGCTTTTAACACACTTTCTGTTCAAAGCGGGGTTTGCAGTGACAGTTTCCAAATCTGAAAGTGAAAGAGTTTAGAAAATGCAGCGTAATTGCAGTTTGTGACTATGGAAGTGATTCAGAAGTTAAAGCTGCAGGACGTCACTTTTGTAACATTTGTTCAAACTGTAAAACCTGTGAAAAAAAACAAACTCCTCTGCCTCCTCCATGTTTTCTCGCAGCGCTCCCGGTCAGAAACAGCCAATCAGGACCCAGGAGGCGGGTCTTAGCGCTGTCAACTAATGTCAATCATCTTACTGTTTATCCACCGTCGTCGGTAGCCATGCTTACTAGCCTTAGCATTCACTCCAGGCTCTGATGTGAGGAAGGATCTGTAGTGTAGCAGAGAGCAAAGGGCAGCGCATACAGGAGCATGACTGACAGCACTAAAACCGTCCTCCTGAGAATTTCTAACAAATATGTAAAAAACATTTTTTTTAAAATATATGTTACCTTGTGCAATTTTTTAAAGATTGGGATGTCTAACAATGTTTTTTAATAAATGACAATTTATATACCTTAAAAAGAATACTAGTCAAAACAAAGAAATCCTCTAACTGTCCATTCAGAAAAGTTTGATCCTGCTCTGATCTGTGGATGTATTTGTGTTCCTGACTTGTTGCTGCTGATCCAGTAATTAGAAGCATGACAGGTTGGTTTCTCTGACATCTCACCTTACTCCAGCAGCATAATGACACCTTGTCTGGCTAATAGTGTGTGCTGCACCCTGTAATCGCTCCCCACTCTGACGCTGCTGGATTTGACTTCAAATATGAAACTGGCCAATGGTGACACAATCCACACAGGGACCAATATTGTGTTGTCCAGTGACAGAAACATCCAGTCGTGTTTTCATCACTTATGGGGACTTCACGTTGACTTCCATTAATTTCTACAGCCTAATCCTTACCCTATTCCTAACCCCATACCTAAACATCACATACCTAACCACTAACCCAAAAACAACAATTTCCCTCATGGGGACCAAGAAAATGTCCCCACAAGGAGCAATGGTCCCCATAACCCCACATTGTAGACAGAAATAAGTTCCCACAAGGATATGAAAACCTGGTACACACACACACCTACACGCACACACACACACACACACACAAATTGTGTGTCAGATGAGCTCAGCTGGACCTTTCGTCAGTCAACAAGTGACAGATTTTTTGTTGTTGACTCGTATTATCGTGTTATCTTCAGTCAGTGTGTGTACATACACTCCAGTTAAGCCCAGAATGATTCACACAGCTGAAAGATTTAGATTTAAAATGACTTTTTTAAAATTTAACCATGAAGTTTGTTTATGATATGAGAATATGAAATGAGACAGAAATCTGTCAAAGAATAATGGATTATCATCAATGGAAAAAATGTTTTTACATTTTATTGAAAAACAGCTTTAATAAAGCTGAAAAAGTGTTAATGTCAATTAAACCTTTTAATACTTATTACCAGGGGAGCAAAGCTTTGCTTGTTTCCACTGGTATTTTGATCATTTTCGGCCTCATTGCCATCACCCTAATCTTTAACCGCATCCACAGCTGAGTCAGGTTCCAGTCAGCTCTCTCCAGAATTACTATAAAACAAAACTAGAAGATTACTTCAAAGCTAAACTTGCCAGAGGTATGAATACTTCTGGGCTTAACTTGTCACTTGAAGTCAGACGTGTCCTCAGGTGAATTGTGCATTTTTAATTTTTTGTTCTGCTGTTTGTTCTCAGAGGACAGAATTTCCAAGTTTGCAGGTGGAAATACAACAAGAAAGCCACTATAAAGAACTATAAAGTTATGTAATAAAAATGTATTTTATTTGTTAATAACTCTTTGCTAAAGATTTGGAAACAAAGTCAAACAAACGTAATCCTACAAGCTATAGAGAATATGAGACATTCGTGAGTAATTGAATATTCAAAATATTATCTTATATCTAAAGTTGATCAAACAGAAAAGTGTTTGAGGAAAAGAATGAGGTAAAATAAAACAACACAAAACCAACCGGGGTGTGTGACACCAAAAGCTCATTTCATTTTCACTGGAGATTTTTTATTCATGTAGATAAAAACCACAGCGAAGGCTCCTGCTGTCCTCTCATGGTTTTATTAGAGTGGCGTATCTTGGGTTTCAGGCATAAAGCAAATAAAGGCCGACGCCTGCGACTCATCCAGCAGAGCATCTCTGGCCGGATGTTTGATCGTTTCTGTGTGGCCCCATCCTGTCTACCTCGCTGCTAATCCCACTGCTTTGATACTCAATTAGAGAACACAAACTCTGCATTCCTCCTGCAGGAATAAAAACACATAAAAGAACAGGTTTGAGTAGGCTGTATGGATGTCTTAGCTAACAAACTAACTCTAATGAGTTTATTTGTTTTGTTTTTTTTTACAGTTTCGTAAGCCAAACTCAGACCCGATTACTGCCTTGATCTGTAGAATTAAGAAATCATTTAAACAGAACCTGTTACACAGCCTGAAGTAGGCTTAAAGCTCTCATCATGTCCGTATGAGGAGATGATCTACAGGAGGTCAGATGTGTCTCTGCTAGGAAAAAAATAAACAAATAAAAAATGACCCCATTACTGACATCACTTCCTCTTCAGCTAAACACCCCATAATCCTTCACTGCATTACTGTCACTGTCACATGACCAAACAAAGACCATGTGACCAACAACCTGCAATCCTGAAGACTTTGGACAGAATATTCAGTAGACTGAAAAGACAAAAGTGTAAAAGAAAAACTAACAGTGTTTCAGGAAGAAACCATACTGACAGTAAAACTGGAAGGAAGGAAGGAAGAAAGGAAGGAAGGAATGTTTGTTTTAAGCATATGTCTTGACACTCACCATTTATTTACACTACAACATGAGAAAAATAATCTGTGAAAAATCCTGCTCCTCTGCTGTCTCCAGGAGGAGAGGCTTAGTGCTGCCAATCATGCTCTGCTGCTCAAAGTGCTAATAGGAACAACTCACTGTTGCAGGAAAACTGTTTACCCACCACTGCTTGTGGCTATGCTAACTAGTTTTAGTGATACTCTGCATCCAGTGAGACCTGATATGGCATCTAATAAATAAAAAAATGCTGCTGCCCTCTGCTCTCACGAACAGGATGAGTAATGCCCGAGGATCTGAAATCAAACATGTTTTGTCTGCAGCTCAGTCACAGTTTACACCTCAGCACACCTCAGCACACTTCAACACAGAGTGAGTTATGATGCAGGGGCACGCCTGTGGGAGCCCGAGACTCACTGACTGACTGACTGAGGAGCAGTGAGAGAGAGACGGAGAGAAAACGCAGTTTGGGAAATTCACACGACAGAAACAGACAGGAGAGAGAGAGAGAAAGAGGGAGAGAGAGGACTGGAACATGGGATGGGGAGGAGGAAAAAAGGAGGGGGTATGACATGAGGGGGAAGTGAGTGAAGAGAGGATGAATGGAAGAAGAACGGAGGAGGGGAGTTGCTTCCTGTCGCCATTCCTGCCCACATAGACAGGCGAAGAAAAGAGCGGCAGAGCGAGAGGATCTGGGCGGACTGCAGGCCACATGACATTCCCTCTCCGGGTCCCTCGCTTTTCCCTCCGCACTGAGTGATGTGCACCCTCCCTCCTTCCCTTCCTCGTTCCCTCCCCCTTCCCCCTCCCTTCCTCAGCCCTTCAAAGCTTCGACATGTCATCTTCCACCACAAAAACAGAGGTGGGAAGACTTGCTGGCGCTACCGCTGCCTCAGGGTGTCTGGCACTAAAGCTGACTGCAAATACAGCAGGGAGAGGAGGATGAGGAGGAGGAGTGGGAGGAGTGAAGAGACAGAGAGAGAGGAAGAGAGAGAGAGAGAGAGAGAGAGAGAGAGAGAGAGAGAGAGAGAGAGAGAGGAAGAGAAAGAGAGACATGAAGGGGGAGAAGAAGATGGGAGACAGAAGACTCAGAAGAGAGACAGGGACTGGAGTAGCAAGCAGGACAGCATGTATTACAGAAGACTCATAAAGCCCTGGGCGTCAGTGTGTGTGTGTGTGTGTGTGTGTGTGTGTGTGTGTGCGTGTGCGAGTATGTGTGTATGTAGCGAACTTGTTATTAAGGTGGAGAGACAGAGATGAGTCCTGTCTGTTTAGTCTTTTTTCTAAGGTGACACTGTTCTGTCTCTGCTTTCTCACACAAACTGAGCCGTTTCCCTGACTGTGTGGCCCGCCGCCACAATCACAGCCACAAAAGCACAATGATACCCAGAAAGGCCCAATCTCAACCAACGCTAATGGGAAATGTATGGAGACCGCAGGCATGTAATTGAATTTATCTTTCCTAATTCGTAGATCATTTCCTCCAGAATGCCGTCACATTTTCTGCGCCTCTAAATGCGAGCCTGTGGACAGACGATGCGAGTAAACTCTTCCAGGCCAGGCTGTTTGCGAGCCTGGATACCGCGAGATTTGCAGATTGATTTAAAGAGCAATTATGCACTTGGCTTTTGAACCTCTGAGGCTTTGGGAAAGAAATGGTGATTGGCTCCTAGACAAAGTAAGCATATCTGACCAGAAGGAGGCTTCACCATGAGGAGAGAGTGCTGGAGAAGCCACAAGAGCCCAGCAAACAAGAAAGTTGGTAACTGGGATAAGTACGGCCCTCTGGGGACCCCATGACCTCACAGCCAACAGATGAGCGCTGCAGAGAGGCTGGTAAACACCAGGCGTGATCACACTGAGGCAGCGGTGGCTAATGTACAGCCTGAACCAGCAAGAGAGACAAATTGAAACACTTTAGGAATTACTGCCATGACCTAGAAGCAGATTTACACCGCACCTATCCAGATGCTAAATATGAGCATGCATCACATGGACACATATGATGCCACATTAGGTTGTATGCATGCAGTAAATTCTTAAAATTGTTGACAACCAAGTAAAAAACAATCCAGGAAATTGTGTGGATTAAAATTAACATTGAAAAGTGACCATGACAAAAATGTATGATGGCCTATCAGGGTCAATGTACATCAAAAGAAAAGGAGTAAGTTTCCACAAAAAATAATCTGAGAAATTCTCCCAAAAAACTAGGATATTTTTTAATTTAAAGGGAGGAGGGTGGGGTACTCAGGGAGGGAGGATGGGAAAATGACATGACACAATAACCTGCTCCTCTTATCCATGCTAGTCATATCTGTGCTGATTTTCATAAGTCAGGAGTTTAGGCACAAAAATAACTACCAGTCACATCTGCCCTTTATTTGCTTAAATTAATCTGATCAACTGGGACTGAGACAAATGAGGCTGAAGGAAAACCAAAGTTCATAAGAAAGTAGCATTCCAAATCCTGACTCTATTCAAGATGACATTACAACTCACTCAGTTTTTTGCTGGTAACTTCATTCAATTTGCTTCTAACTTTCTATCATTCTGTTTTAGTCTCACTGACTGAAACAAAACACCAAAAACAGTGTAAGGTGACTCTTAATGCCTTGATGTCTGATCTTTACTCAGTGCTAGTCTATGTGATTAAAACTGATTTTTAGTTTCAGTTAAACAAAAAATTGTACAACACGAATCAATATTGGTTAAATTCATCATGCTAGCTTTGCATTTACAGGTTATCACTGACACATGGAAACACAGAGTCTCTCAGCTCTCTGGTACAACCAGTCCTCTAGGCGTCACCGAACCGGATCTGTAGCATAACTAGAAAATCAGTGAGAGCATTTAACTTTTATTTAACTGCGGTTAATTTCCTCTCAATGGAAGTTATGCATTTGTTTAAACAAAAGAAGAAATCAGTTACTAAACAGGAATCAGCTCTTGCCCAACACATGATCTACTGTCTCCATCCATCAGGTCTCGTGAATAGATACATGTTTATTATTGTAGCTCAGGGTGTAAATAGAAGATTTTCTCCTTTATCTTCTCACATATTTTCTGATAAAGCACACAAATCAGATGGGATAATGATGCGGTCAGGCAGAATGTCGTTGTTTAGATCCTCTCTCCGTAATCATTTGTACACAGCCAGCCATCCCTTAATCACATGGATTTGTGGCAGCTGACTGTCCAGCTCTCAAACGTCATCTGTCAGGTCTGGTCTAACCCAGCTGCTCTGCTGCTGCCGGTGTTCAGGTCCCAGAGGCGTGGAAGTGTTCTGTAAGTGTGACCGCATCCAGGTTGTTCCTCTTGTCACCAACTGTAAACGGTGCCTGTCATAGTTACATTTACCTAGAACAATATCACTATCCACAGCAGTGCAAACAGTAATTGGGGGGTGGAAGAAAACAGAAGCCTGATTTTCAGCAGTGCTACTATTAAATCTGAAAAATCCGGCACACATTTGTGTTCAATTTGTAGTGTGTAA